TCATCATCTACATATTCACTTTCAACTTCAACATCTATACGTTTACTTTCTGCAACTTCAACATCTACACTTTTTGCAACTTCAAATTCTACAAGTTCACTTTCCAAGAGTTCATTATTCACAGATTTGTTTGTTACAAATTTATCATACATAGATTTACTTTCTATATCTATAGTATATTTTATTGCTTGCATATTTTTATTTGATAATAGCTCATTTTCTAGTATAAAACTTCCAAATGGAGTATTTTGAGTGAACTTATTATTTAGATATTCTATTTCAATTTATGTAACTGTATAATATGAAGATTGAAGTAAAAAGTTCGTCACGTCAAATAGTGGTTAAAAAATGCGTAATTAACAGTCCATAAAAATAAAGTATGTACAGTCAACTTCAAATCAAAATACCTAACAACAAGTTGCGGCTAGCAATAAGATGATAATGCAATAAGTCCTGGCTTAAAATATGTGTTGTATCTAGGGTTGCTGGTGCGTATATAATTTTTACGGTGCACCGATCATATTCAGTCTAGACTACTTGGTGCATGGTGTATCTAATGGTGCACCATAAAATAGTTTGTTGAACTTACTCTTTTTCTAAATTGGTTTGAAACTGTTATTTTAATAACTATACTTGTAATTATTTAACCAGAATATACCACAGGTGAGTAAAAAGTCTCTAAACAACTTTTTTACTGTTTTCAATAATATTATAGTTTTTTATAGCTATATACATGTTCACAATATGTCAGTATAATAAGGTAGCCATTAAATAGAATCTTTTTACTGCTTTCACTAATACTAAGCATTTTTTATAACTATATACATGTTCACAATATGCTGGTTTAATAAAAATCACCATTAAATAGAACCTTCTTATTACTTAGAACCTTTTACTACTTTTATTCATATTAAAAATTTCTATGCCAATATACACATTCACAATATGCTGATATAATAGAATGATATTTAAGTAAGAACCAAATGCATTATTGCAGCTGTAATTAACAAAAAGATAAGATATTGCGATTAACTAAAATTTTAGTTTAACTTAAACACTGTATGTTGAAACGGTCTCTGTTGTGTCAGAAAACTCACAGGATAGATTTAGAACAATTCACAATACTACTATAAGTATAACACTATTACTATAGTGACCAAACCCTAATAATGGTAAGGCTTCGATTAAGGCATGGAAAGACTTAGTCCGAGTAACAGGTTCGTAGGTTGTATAGTGATAGTGGGGGCTTCAGATAAGTATTCTTCCTTGCTATACATTTTATATTTAGTATGGTACAAGACATCTATACTCAACAGTTACACGAAGTGTTTCAATTTTTCAAATAGCTATAACTTTTTATCTAAGAAGTTTTTAAAAAATCTGACTAGTAACTTTATAGAGCTACATCAGCTCTATATTTGTGCCAAATATCATTTCAAAATCTCATCACTGTAAAAAGTTTTAGCAATTTGAAAATTCAAATTTTATATATAAATTTATAAATTTATATATAAAATTTTAATTTTCAAATTGCTAAAACTTTTTACAGTGATGAGATTTTGAAATGATATTTGGCACAAATGTAGAGCTGATGTAGCTCTATAAAGTTACCATCAGATTTTTTAAAAACTTCTTAGATAAAAAGTTATAGCCATTTGAAAAATTAAAACACTTCGTGTAACCATTGAGTATAGATGTCTTGCACCATATGCTTTATTTAGTATTAACTATAAATATTTCTCTTTAGATTTTGAATTGTTGACTTCGATCTTGAAGGCTCTTCATGATTGTCACGTGATCACTAGGCACGATTCAGGGTAATTACGTAGATATCGATCTCAAATAATGAGATAATCACAAACTTAATCAGCTTATAATTTAGTATATAAGGGATCGGGTTACTAATCAATACTCTTTCTCTTCTTATTCGATACAAAAATAAAGTACGCGATGGTCACAGGAACAAGATAACAAAATACGAATTTGGGTTATGTTAAAAAGGAAACTTAAACACTTACTCTTATTTCGAAAGTGTTTTAATCGAACTCCACTGAGTTGTCTCTTTATTCAAGATAATTCTCACTACTTTTATACATGATTTTTACAGACTAACAATCATTACTTATTAACTCTACTCTTTTTTT